GCTTCCTCTTTGGAGGGGGTGAAAAGGATTAAGGGGGGCAAACTGCAGTGGGGGGGTGTCAGGGTCTGAGCTGGGGGCAGAAATTTACCAGCTGGGGGGAATCAAGCTACTGTAGGTAGCAGCAGAAGAGGGGCTGAAGGGGAAAATCGGGGGGTGGTAGCCGGGGTTAAGTCCGGGGGGGAGACGCTGCCAGACCCTGTGTGGGGACAAAACCCCCATTTAGGGAGGGGGTGGGGGGAACAGTTACCCCGTGGGATGAGCCACCTGCTGCGCTTGTAAATAGTGGGATGCGAGGGGTGCAAAGGCTTCTCGTTCTCCTCACAGGGTGCTGCATGTCAGCACTGGAGCAGAGGGCGGATTCCTGGGCTTGTGTTCGTAAAGGCACAGGCCTCCCAGCTCCTAGACTGTCTATCGTATACAAGTGCTGCAGGGCTACGTTACTGCTACAGCCGGGAGCCTGAGTGCTGTGAAATATTGTACAGACGGCCCCTCTCTCGTTTGGAGTATTGAAGAGTCTCCTCGCAGTGTCTATGTCTATATGCAGTCACTGCAGCTCCTTTCTCTTATATCACGTGCCGAGGTGCTAAACTCCCTCCCAGAGCCCACGCCTCCACACCCCCTCCTGTACCCCAACCCCCTGCCCCAGGTCAGAGCCCGCACCCCTCGCCCAAGCTCCCCATAGCCTGCACCCCTCCTGCACCCAAACTCCCTCCCAGAGCCCACACATCCACACCCCCTCCTGTACCCCAACCCCCTGCCCCAGGTCAGAGCCCGCACCCCTCGCCCAAGCTCCCCATAGCCTGCACCCCTCCTGCACCCAAACTCCCTCCCAGAGCCCACACATCCACACCCCCTCCTGTACCCCAACCCCCTGCCCCAGGTCAGAGCCCGCACCCCTCGCCCAAGCTCCCCATAGCCTGCACCCCTCCTGCACCCAAACTCCCTCCCAGAGCCTGCGCTCCAAACAGGGCCAGGTTAAGCTTTTGTGGGCCCGGTGCTAAACTTATTTGTGGGGCCCCCTGGGGGCAATGGGAACGTGGGGCAAAGTCCTCAGAGCGAGGGGCTGGGCAGGGGCAATGAGAGATGGGTCACGGCACGGCAGGGACAGTCCTGCTCCACCCAGCCCAGTACAAAGGCACTCTTTACAAACTGGCAGCTGTCAGACGCACACTGGTCCACCCGGCCCTGTGTTGTGGCCATCATGCTTCTTCCCCTTCGGGGC